GGGGGGGGGTAATTTATTATCTTTTTTAAACCCCGCATTTTCGAGCAACACCCTTCAAAAATGTCAAAAGTTACACGAGAGATCACCAACTGTCAATAAACCTATCTAGCCCGCCCTTAAAGTATTATGGCCGATGTTTGTGCCAGTCACTGTACCCATTGTAGTGTTGTCCACTCTTGTAAGTTGAATCAACATTGACTTAGACGTCTTGCGTATCGCCTCTGTGTGCCTTATCTCTCTGGCCTCCTTTATGTTTGCCTCCCTCAGACTTCTTCTCTCTCTCTCTCTCTTTCACAAAAACGGTTTTACCACTTGAGCAACAGTTAAAGCTTTTGACATTAGACCGATATTTAAAAAAAAACCAACAACAAAAAAAAGAATTGACTACTTGAGCAGCAGTTAGAGCTTTTGACAACATTTGACTGAGATTTTTTAAAGGAAAAAAAAGAAGAAAAAGCTGACGCAACGCAAACATAACATTCTGCAGTGAGGCGAATGTTGCTTTATTGTATGGGCCTATCTCCGCTTCTGTCAGCTGATGGAGCTGACGACAAGTGCACGTGCCCATCTGTTGTCATTTGTCTTGATTCATTTGATACCATTCCTTTCATATTGTTAATTGTGGTTGAATAGTAAATTCCTTAAAGAATGGGATGCAAGCTTCTGTTTTGACGCGATTTGATCATGTCCTCCACAATCAAAGTAGCCAAAGCGACTATTTTGGCACAATTTGATCAAATACTCCCAATATCAAACAAGTTGGACCTGAGAGTGACAAATGTGCACTGGCAATGAGCTGACTGATTGTGGGTTGTTGGCTGCTTGTTTTTCTTTTACCTCGCTTCATGCTTGTGTCCGTAATATTGTCTGTAAAAATGGCAATACCCATAGCAACAGCTGCAGCTAGGAACTATTACTGCTAGGTGTACTACAGCTGCTGTTGATGCTACTACTACTACTACTACTACTACTACTACTACTACTACTACTACTACTACTACTACTACTACTACTACTACTACTACTACTACTGT